CACTTTGTCAAACACTGCTCTAGGTCATCTTCAGTTTCTTAGAATGTTCTTGAAAAAGACATTTTGTGTGTGTGTGGCGTATTGCGTAGAATATATTTATTACTGATTTTTATGATCAAGAGAGGTCTACTTAATCTTTGTGTATTTTTTTTTTAAGATTTTATTTATTTATTTGAAAGAGTGAGTGAGAGAGAGCACAAGTGGGAGAAGGGTCAGAGGGAGAGGGAGAAGCAGACACCTCTGCTGAGCAGGAAGCCCGACGTGGGGCTTGATCCCAGGACCACAGGATCATGACCTGAGCCAAAGGCAGCTGCCCAACCAACTGAGCTGCCCAGGCGCCCCTCTTTGGATAATATTTTTGATACTTGTTGAGTTTTAAAATTAATGCTCTCAATTCCTACTAGATTTACCTTTTATCTAGTCTTTTGATGATTCTAATCTTGATAATATTCTGCTTATGACACTTTTTAAAATTTCTTTTTATTTCAGTGTTATTTATTTGAGAGAGAGAGCGCAAGCAAGCATGAGCACGGGGCAGGGGAAGAGAGAGTAGCAGACTCCCTGCTGAGCAGGGAGCCTGATGTGGGGCTCGATCCCAGGGTCCTGGGATTGGGACTTGAGCATGAGGCAGATGCTCAACAGATGAGCCACCCAGCTGTCCCTGCATATACCACTTTTTAAAGATTAAAGTAAGCACATGCTTGTTATTTTAAGGTAGTTTACAGTAAATAAGGTTAGATCAGTATAGGATAAGTTTCCCCAAATGTTAGAGGTTAAAACTGGCCTAGCCTAGTTTGTTAAGTATACTGATAGCCAGTTAAGCTTTCATGATTTATCCAGAAAATTGGATTTCCTGGGCCAGTAACTTTGGATCTCATGAAGAGACATTTCATCACAACAGAAGTGTATAAAACTGAACCGTACTTTCCTGTGAGGCAGATTACTGCAGCTCCCTTCTCTAAATAAGGTTGAGAATGGTTGCTTACATAAGCATTAAAGCATAGCCTACTTTGTTAATTTGCTAGCGGTTTTCCTTTCAGTATAATAATTTATATAACGGGATAGCTGCCTTGTATTTTTTGGAACCTTTCTAAGATATCAGTTTCTTTGGCCCTGCAGCTTTTAATCTCTTTAAGTCTAGTTTGTACAGAGTAATATAAGCATTAATACTTCTGATACTTTCATGATTTCACATTTATTTTTGCAAAGATAGGAATCAAATTTTCCTTTTTTATTTTACAGCAAATTTAAAATACAGTTATTTTAAAACATTAAAACAGCATGCATGTCTGTGATGCTAGTAGATTTTATCTTGGGTGTGTTTTATTTATTTTTTTAGAGATTTTATTTTTAGTAATCTGCACTCAACAGGGGGCTCCAACCTACAACCCCAAGATCAAGAGTCACATGCTGTACTAAGACAGCCAGGCACTTCTTGGGTGTGTTTTAATGTATGGCTAGTTCTCATATAATTTTTAGGACAGATAAGCTATTTTCATGCTGCTTTCCAGTGCATTTTGTCCTAAAAAAGACCAGTTATCATACTGTGTATGTGACATTGTTATATCAGTATACCTCCTTCCATCTAAGGTACTTAAAAACTTTCCAAGGGGTTCCTAGTTTTGTGGGTTTTTTTTTTCCCTAAGATTTTATTTATTTTAGAGAGAGCGCGTGCGCATGTGTGCACACGCAGTCAGGGAGGGGCAGAGAGATGGAGAGAAGTAGAGGAGTCTCTGCTGAGCGGGAGGTGTGGGCGGATCTCAGGAATCTGAGATTAGGACCTGCGCTGAAATCAAGAGTCAGATGCTTAACCGAGCCACCCAGGCACCCCCTAGTTTTGTAGTTCTTGATGAATTTAAATATGTGAAAGATTCCTTGAGGAGGGAAAAATATTAATAGTTCAGGCTCTGAAATCCAGGTGCTTGTGCTATATACTAATCATCTGGTCTTGGCTAAGCTCTGTAACCTTCCCAGGCCCCAGTTTTCTCATCTGTGAAATGATTACAGTAAGATTTTCTACCTCAGGGTAGTCGTGAGAATGAAAGGGGAGAATATTTACAAAATGCTTAATACAATACAAAGTAGTTTTTTTGGTTATAGATATATTTTACAAACGTGTAAGCATTCTTCACATTCTTGAATCATGTCTGGTCTGTCTTGAATTCCACAGAATAAGGACCAAATTCTATAGTCTCTCTACATAAAAGACCACCTCAGTTTGTTTCTGTTAGGTCTTTTTTTTTTTTTATTTCACATCTTGCCATTTCCGTTTTCATACCTTCTTCCCATACTCTTTCAGGCCTTTGAACTTGTTTACCCTGCTGGAAGTTATAAGTACAATGAAAATCACCATCCTTTTCACCCAAGAGTATGGAACTAAGAATCCTTTGGTTTTTTTTGAATGTGTGTGTGTGTGTGTGTGTGTGTGTGTGTGTGTGTGAGATACCTTCTTTAAAAACCATTCCTTCACCCCAACCCTCAATTCCCATAGCATTTTCTCTTGTTTCAAATATTATTACTTATCTTTATGGTATGATAATTATTTTACTGCACAGCTGTCTTCCACACTGGGTTTTCCTTCCTGAGTAAGTGATATTTTCATGATAAAAATGAATAGGAAATCACACATCTGAGCTAGTTAGAACTTTGTGTAAAGTAAAAGCATCCATGCTCCGATCCTTAAAGTACACAATCAGTGGGATATCTTTTTTGACTGTGTAGAGTAGTTTATGCTTATTTCTTGTTTTTCAAGTGTCTTTAGAAAAAAAAAATCATCCCAGTTGAATAAATCTTGCCCATTTGGTTGGATATTAAGATATGAGAAATCATGTCTAAAATGGGCACAATTTTATCTCTTCTTAAGCTACACTGCATCCTACCACTTAATTAGCTAACTGTTCTTAATCTACTTGTCGAGCTTTTAAGGTATAATGTGTATGAGGAGGAGTCTTAATATGGAGATATACATGTATACTTACAGTTTGCAGTATGATAGTAATCCATACTTTCCTTTTGGAAAGGAAATATCAACATTTCATCTATCAGCAGTGTGATTGGTATGATGTTTGCTGTTATTTTAGAATAGAGTTGAATTCAGAGAGGAAAAAGTAAACCCTTTTAAAGGAAGGAAAACTTTTCTCCATCATTAGAACAAAGACAGTTTCCACCAGAAGCAGCAGGAACTAATTATGGTTCTGAGGACCTGCCACCTTGTTGGGATATGTAGGTAGCATAGTTCTTTCTTATTTTTGGACTTTCTTAATAGGGTGGGAGGGTTCTAACTTAGTAGGAGCTGCCCTATGTGGTTAGAAATTTTTAAGTTGGTGTTGCTGAAGATTGAATGGTAGGTTTCACCTACTCATATTGTAGTACACACATTCATTTTTGTCTGCCTTTCTTGTAATCCTAGATATAAACAAATTGCTGGATATATCAAACTGACATTAATTGAGAACGTTCTCAAGTTGGAAGCTTTCCGTTAAAAAAATCGGTAAAGCAAAAATACAATGAAAGAGGACTGGAACCAGAAAAAACATACACTTTTCCTTAGTATTCATGTTGTCTGAAATAAAGCAAAATGGACTTTACAGGCGTTGATAGATACAGGGAGGGAGGTCAGAAGTTTTAGAGAAAAGCAGGCATAGTAAAACATGGATCCTGTGGCGTAATCACCTATGTTTACATCTTTTATTTACTATTTTACTTGGGAAAATTACTTAAATTCCTTCTACCTCAGTTTCCTCACCTATAATATCCTTGGAACAGTGACTGACACAGTAAGCAATCAAATGTCATTTCAAGCAAGAAATAGTAAATAAAAATGTTTTTCATTAATCCTGAATTACTAATATAAGATACATGAAATTCCATTGATAGTCTTTTTTAGAATGCTGTATTTGATGTTTTATTTCAAACTAGAAAGTATTTAAAAGGATTTTTTAGGCTCTCTTATGACCTGCAGTCCCTCTTACTCTGTTTTTCCTATGAGGTCTTAAAAGATTTCAGCTACAGTTTCTCCTTTCACAGTATTTTCAGGAACATAACTCTCAGATGGGGAAGTAATACTGAACCTAACAGCAAAAGTAGATGTACAAAGCAAGTTAAGTTCACTAACTACTGGCTTCTTCTCTTAGGTTTTTGAGTTAGAGTTTGATTTGAATCCTACACACAATGATGAGTTGGGGACACAATGATGAGCAAAACACACCTGTACCCTCACAGAGCTCAACTAACATCTACTAGCTTTAACATGGGCAAATTACTTTACCTTTTTGATCCTATAAAATGTAGGTGATATCTACCTCATAGAATTGTTTGGATGAATTTAAATGAGATAATATTAAAGGAATATAGTGCATGGTACTGGGACATGGTGAGTACTGAAATGTTAATTCCTTTGTGTCTTCTATTACAAATCAATTACCGCTACAGAAAGAATAGAGTGGAGGATGCATTAAAACTTCTATAATAGTCTTGTAGTGAATTGTACTCAGGAGAGTTTTTGAAAATTTATAATTTGGGAAGTTATAAAACTTGCTACTTACATCTGAGAGTGGAAATGCTGATAATGAAGAAATATGTATATTTATAATAAATAAAATAATATAAGTTTAAAGATTTTTATCCTATAAAAAGTGTTTTACTACTTTTTCTAAAACTTACTAATAATAGCTTAGATTAGTTTCAGATACTTTATAGGTATCAACTTATTTAATATTCTTAAGAATTCTGTGAAGTAGTTGCTACTATTTCTTATACTTTATAAATAAGGAAACCAAGGCAGAGAGATTAAGCGCAGTCTTACTGACACTAAGTAGGGCTTGGATGCATCTCCTAGAATCTGGTTCTAGAGCCCATGCTTTTCACCACTATGTCAGGCTGCTTCTAGAAGAAATAGGAGTTTTTAACATTGACCCAGTATTCTCATTATTCTAAATACATCTCTCTTTTCCTGCTCATTTATTCAATGAGACATTTTTCTTTTATATTCTTTTAAAAAGCTGTCATGGATGCACTGGTAGAAGATGATATCTGCATTCTGAATCATGAAAAAGCACATAGGAGAGACACAGTGACTCCAATCTCAATATATTCAGGAGATGAATCTGTTGCTTCACATTTTGCCCTTGTCACTGCGTATGAAGACATCAAAAAACGACTTAAGGATTCAGAGAAAGAGAACTCTTTCTTAAAGAAAAGAATAAGATTTTTGGAGGAAAAGGTAATTATTATCTTTATTATATTTTATGACTCAAAGAATAATTCAAAATACTTGAAGTTTTAAAAATTTTTCTAACCTGTCTTCCCTGGTTGTACTAAGTTTCCAAGGATAACTCACAGCTAGTCTCAAAACCCAGTACTTCTCATACGGTGCTTCACATATCATGTATGTAGGGAATATTTGTAGAATAGGATTTGGAATATATTTTTCTTGGAATGTATTTTTCCTTTTTTAGATTGCCTTACCTTCATAAACTGTATGTGTTTTATTCAGGATTTTAAAATCTGTGCAAAAGGGCACCTGGGTGGCTCAGTCATTGGGCCCCTGCCTTCGGCTCAGGTCATGATCCCAGGGTCCTGGGATCAAGTCCCACATCGGGCTCCCTCCTTCGCAGGAAGCCTGCTTCTCCCTCTCCCATTCCCCCTGCTTGTGTTCCCTCTCTCACTGTGTCTCTGTCAAATAAATAAATAAAATCTTAAAAAAAATAAAAAATAAAATCTGTGCAAAAAATGATATGCCAGCAAAGGAAATTAAATGTCAAAGGAGGAATCTCCTATACATTGTTCTAATGTTTAAAAACATCTTCACCAGGATTGACATCTTCTTTACCTCAACATTCTCTTTTGTTCTTGAACACACAGAATAATGCTTTTAACTGATAAATTACCTTTCTCTGTTTACCTTTCTCATGCAGAAACCTGACACTCTTAAATGTTACAGAATATATAAGCTTGATAGTTGATTCCATTATAAATCATCATATCTACTTGGCTTTTTGTATTGGGAAATCTTCATCATTCACCCTTTTATATTTTGAGTTTTAAAAAGTTTTAACTTAGTTTTATAAGTTTTTTCAGATTAGATCATTGTATTTGTATTTTATAAACAGCAGCTTCCTCAAAAGGGAAGGAAATAGATTCTTAGCTGCCAAGGAAATGAATTATCTTGTTATCAAAAACTTTAGGATGGGGCTTGGTTAGAGTTTGATTCATCTAGGAGAAATAAGAAAAAGGAAGTCAGTTGTAAAAATCATCATAATTTCTTTATATTCATATACATTGTCTTTAATGGTAATCAAATAAATTTGTGATACAATTGGATAGAGTGAGAAAAGGTAACATTTTGGAGCTTGTAGTTATGCTTATTTTAAAATTAAGTAGAAAAATGTGATTTGGTATAGCTAGCATTGGCAATATTTCTGTACTTTGTGACCAACAATCCTGTACTTTCTATTCTGGAATAATACAGTATTTAATGAACTACCACATTCTTTAAAAAGTTAGGTATACCTTAACTTGTCGTTTTTTTTAATGGTGGAAATGAAATACTACTGGCTTGGAAAACACCTAAGTATTATAAAAGAATGACGTACTGTTTTAGTATGATGAATTAATATATGTTATAAAACAAAAAATACTGATTAAAAGTATAAAATAGAAGACTTTAAAAATATTTACCTGTACTTTTTTTGCTTTCTTAATCAGTAAGGTTTACTTGTTGGAAGTGAAATGTTTACTTAATTATACTCAAGGCTTTATCCCTGCATTATAAAGAAAAGTAAGGTGTGGAGCCATCAGAAGACTGGCTTCTTTTTTGTTTGTTTTGTAGAATTCTTTCTTTAAGCTTTCCCTTCTGATTTTATACCATTAGCTTATAGGAGCTCGATTAGACGAAGAAACAAGTTCTGTGGGACGTGAACAAGTAAATAAAGCCTATCATGCCTATCGAGAGGTTTGCATTGATAGAGATAATTTGAAAAGCAAATTGGATAAAATGGTAAGTTGGTTTGAAAACAATCTCTATGTATTGCAGATGAGTTTTCTTCTTCAGGAAGTTTAAAATTAGAAATAAAAGAAATACATTTATTAAATAAAAAATTAAAAATATACATCCTTAAGGCAAAAATAGGAATTTTTAATGGTGATATTTATAACTTATTTCTGTACAAAATAAATATATAGTATGTAATGATGTTTAGGAATTAAGTATATCTAACACCACTAACTTATTTTGAAAAATCATGACATGGTAGAATTTGTCAATGTGTTTTTAAAAGAAAAAAAGCCAGCGAATAATATGTCCTAAGTTTGAAAAAAAAAAAGAGATTAGTGAAAAACTGGGTTCATTTTCCCACCTTGCCTTTTTTAAAGGCCTAAATCTGTTTTTTTATCTACCTGAAAATTAATATATATCAACCTATAGATTTTATTGAATGTAATTTGGCATTTTCCCTACTTAACTAGAATAAAGACAACTCTGAATCTTTGAAAGTATTGAATGAACAGCTACAATCTAAAGAAGTAGAACTCCTCCAGCTAAGGACAGAGGTGGAAACTCAGCAGGGTATGCCACTTACTTGTTACAAATATAATGGAATCAATATATTTTTCCATTTATGTGTTATATCCATTATCAGTTTTCTATATCTGTATGCTAAGGCCTTAACTTATTTTATAATTTTAGTCTTACATTAATTTCTCTGATCTGCTTTCACCAAAATATCAACTGCTTTAACTTTTCCTTAGATATAAGTTGCACTTTTCCTAGAGAAAATTTGATGGTTTTTATTCAGGGCTAGTTTGTGATGAAGTAGATGAAGAAAGGAGTAGAACTCCATCCTTGTCAAAATGTCTTGCCTGCTGGTATGTCCTGGCTTTTCCTTTCTACTGAACTTTTGCCTGCTATTTAGATACATTGTCATGGAGTAGTTACAATTACTCTTTTTTTTTTTTTTTTTAATTTCTGAAGATTGTTAAAATGTGCAGATGAGATGCTGGAGTGAATAATTAGTTCTGGAGCATATGGCTATGGGCCTGTTCCCATGAACATTCTGATGAGACAAGCTGAAGAGTAGGTCTCCGAGAGAGACCTTTTGATAGGAGTTTGAGATGAGCTCTCTTACAGTAGCTGGTTGGGGCTTTTTCTAGATAGACTAAAGAACTAAGCCAAAGGTAATTCAGTATCCAGTTGTATTGAGTTTCTACAGCAGGTATTTATGAATAAATTGTTTTGACATCATGTTCTAGGCCTGATGGTCATACTTTATACTCTGAGGGGACTAGATGGAGTAATTAGAGACATGAGCTTCAGTTTCCTCCCTTCATTTAATTATCACTGTCTTAACCTTGACTTATATATTATTGACTTGTCAACAGTTTTAGCATGTGTTTGATTAGTGTTATATATTTTAAAGTTCCAGACTGACAAACTTGTACTTTAACCTTAACAGAAAATCAGGGGTAGTGGTGATTAATACATTCTGAAACAAGATTGGTAGGTTTCTTATTCTCATTAGCATAGATCTTTGAAAGTAATTACTGTTTTTAAAAAACTGTTAGTTGTGCATCTTTTGTATTAGTTTTTGTATTATCTACATTTTACTAGTATAACCTTTATGGAATTACAACAGATATAGAAGGCAGAAATAATAGTTAATGTCCATCCTTTTTTTAGTGATGAGGAATTTAAATCCACCTTCATCAAACTGGGAGGTGGAAAAGTTGAGCTGTGACCTGAAGATCCATGGTTTGGAACAAGAGCTGGAACTGATGAGGAAAGAATGTAGTGACCTCAAAATACAGCTACAAAAAGCCAAACAAACGGTACTACAGAATTATTAAATTGAGAAATTCAGTATTCTGTGTGTGCTATCTCTAGGATTTATAACTAAAGATTAAATCATAGAGTTAACATATAACTACCTGGAGAGTTACATTCTCTGAAAAATTTACCTTTATCTTCCCTTTTAATCATTTTGTCTAAAATTTGATATACTGTATACTTCCAGCATAATCCCAGAATTATATAATTTTATTGTTTTAAAAAGCTCATTTTAAAAAAGCTTACTAGTTCATTTATTAATTTATTAAAGCTGTTCCTTTTAAACTCCTTTTCCTTCAGTTTCCTTAAGTCATTTTTTTCTGTAAAGTTTTTAAGTTTATCATTTTAACTTAATAATTTGATTAATATAGACACCACAAGAGACAACTTAGTTTTTAGAACTCAAAAGAAAAAACTTGACAGAGTCTACTAATTTTCAAAGGTCTCAATACTTTTGGGCAACTTCAATTTTTAGCAAATAGCTGAGATTTTAAGAATTGGGGGGAAAAAGTAAAAACAACTGTGCTAAGCTGCTGAAGTATGGTTAGCCTGAAGTCATCCACTAAAACACAAGTTGCCTTGCAGGTCCTCACCAGGTCTGTTCACTAATACTTTACATTGGGTTCTAACAAAGTTGAATACAAGTTTTTAGATGTCATGACAGTGCTGAAGAGAAGAAGCAGAAATGGTAGAGAAAAAGAGTAGTGTGAGAGCAGTGTACCAAATGCAAAGTTTAAAATAGTTGTTATAAGAAAAGTTTAGTAGTCTAGAGTCAAACAGCCATTATATACATTCATGTATTTTAAATAAGTTAACCAGTTAGATAATTATTTCTCAACTGTTTTGCCAATCACAGCATTCTAACCCCATTGGGGAACTGTGTCTCCTACCCCAGGTTCCTTTTGGGATGCCAATACCTAAAAAGACACTACTTCCTGTTTTCCCTGATTGCCAGCCAGGACACTGTGCCTGAATCCCAACTGTCCTGACATCCTGCCTGACAGCCAGGCATTAAGAATAATATAGCATTCCACCTTGGCCTTAGCCAAATGAATTCTTCTGAACTGGACAATGAGAACTTGTTTTCAAGCCCCCAGACCTGATAAAGGGGAAACACTATAGAGATTACTGTCAGTTCCTATTAGGGCAAAATACTTTTTTTCCTACTTAACATCTGAAGTTAATTTCTGCAGTTATATACAGTTCCTTCAAAGGCTTCCTGCATCCTAGCCCACAAGCTTAGGTGCTGTAGCCCCTGAGAAGCTAGCTAGCTGGCTGGCTGGCTGGTGTACTTGCTTGTTTATTTATGTACATTTTTCTTAATTTTAATTTTTAAAAATATTTTAATTCCAGTCTAACGTACAGTGTTATATTAGTTTCAGGTGTACACTATAGTGATTCAGCAGGGTCAGGCCTGGTTAGTATTTGGATGGGAGCAATTCTATACTAACTGCTCATCATGATAAGTGTACTCTTAATCTCCTTCACATATTTGACCCATCCCCCCCACCTCCCCTTTGGTGTAACCATCTAGTCATTCTTTATAGTTAAGAGTCTGTTTTTTGGTTTGTCTCTTTTTTACTTTGTTCATTTGTTTTTTATTCTACATGTAAGTGAAATCACAGTATTGGTCTTTCTCTGACTGGCTTACTTTGCTTATTTGCATTATACTCTCTAGATTCATCCATGTTGTTGCAAATGGCAGAATTCCGTTTTTTTTATGGCTGAGTAATAGTCCCCTGTGTGTGTGTGTGTGTGTGTGTGTGTATGTATACATACACACACACTCATGGTAATTCTGTTTTTAACTTTTTGAGGAACTTCCAGACTATAAAGTGGATTACACCAGTGCATTCTCACTGACATGCATGTGGGTTCCTTTTTTTCCTCATCCTCGTCAATACTTGTCTCTTGCGTTTTTTGATTTTAGCCATTCTGATAGGTGTCAAGGTGATATCTCATTGTAGTTTTGATTTGCATTTTCCCGATGATGAGTTATGTTGAGCATCTTTTCGTGTGTCTTTTGGCTATCTGTATATCTTTGAACAGATGCCTATTCAGGTCCTCTGCCCATTTTTTTTTATTATGTTATGTTAATCACCATACATTACATCATTAGTTTTTGATGTAGTATTCCATGATTCATTGTTTGCGTATAACACCCAGTGCTCCATTCAGTACATGCCCTCTTTAAAACCTGAAAGTCCAGTCCTTTGCCCATTTTTAATTAGATTGTTTTTTAGGTGTTGACTTGTGTAAGTTCTTTATATGTTTAGACTTGTGTAAGTTCTTTATATGTTTTGAATTCTAACCCTTTATCAGATATGTCATTTGCCAGTATCTTCTCCCATTCAGTAGGTTGTCTTTTAGTTTTGTTGATTGTTTCCTTTGCTGTGCAGAAGCTTTTTATTTTGATGTAGTCCCAATTTATGTTTGCTTTTGTTTCCTTTTCCCAAGGAGACATATCTAAAATAATGTTGCTAAGGCTAATGACAAAGAGATTACTGCCTATGTTGTCTTCTAGTTTTATGGTTTCAGGTCTCACATTTAGGTCTTTAATGCATTTTGAGTTTATTTTTGTATTCTTTTGCATATAGCTGTCCAATTTTCCCAAAACCGTTTGTTGAAGAGATTGTCTTTTCCCCATTGCATATTCTTGCCTCTTTTTTCATAGATTAATTGACCATATAGGCATGGGTTTATTTCTCAGTTCTCTATTCTGTCTGTTTTTGTGGCAGTACTGTACTGTTTTGATTACTACAGCTTTGTAGTATATCTTGAAATCTGGGATTGTGCTATCTCCAGCTTTGTTCTTCTTTCTCAAGATTGCTTTGGGTATTCAGGGTCTTTTGTGGTTCCATACAAATTTTAGTATAATGTGTCTAGTTCTGTGAAAAGTACTCTTGGTATTTTGATAGGGATTGCATTAAATCTGTAAATGGCTTTGGGTAGAATGAACATTTTAACAGTTTGTTCTACCAATCCATGAGCATGGAGTATCTTTCCATTTGTTTGTGTCATCTTCAATTTTTTTCATCAGTGTTTTATAGTTTTCAGAATACAGGTATTTCACTTACTTGGTTAAGTTTATTCCTAGGCATTTTATTATTTTTGATGTAGTTGTAAATGGGATTGTTTCCCTAATTTCTTCCTGCTACTTCATTATTAGTGTATAGAAATGCAACAGATTTCTATATATTGATTTTGTGTCCTGCAGCTTTACTGAATTCATTTATCAGTTTTAGTAGATTTTTGGTGGTCTTTTCAGGTTTTCTACATATAGTATTCTGTCATCTGCAAGCAGTGATAAGTTTTGCTTCTTCCTTACCAATTTGAATGCCTTTTCGTTTTCTTGTCTGATTGCTGTGGCTGCCATTTCCAGTACTGTGTTGAATAAAAGTGGTGAAAGTGGACATCCTTGTCTTGTTCCTGCCCTTAGGGGGAAAGCTCTCCATTTTTTCCTCTTGAGTATTATGTTAGCTATGAGTTTTTCATAAAAGGCCTTTATAATGTTGTGGCATATATCTTCTATACCTACTTTGTTGAGGGTTTTTATCATGAACGGATATTGAATTTTGTCAAATGCTTTTTCTGCATCTATTGGAATGATCATATGGTTTTTATCCTTTCTCCTGTTCATGTGATGTATCACGTTGATTGATTTGGGAATATGGAACCACCCTTGCTTCCCAGGAATAAATTCTCCTTGATCACGGTGAATGATATTTTTTTTTTTTTTTTTTTTTTTTAAAGATTTTTATTTATTTATTTGTCAGAGAGAGAGAGAGCACAAGCAGGGAGCCCGATGCGGGACTCGATCCCAGGACCCTGGGATCATGACCTGAGCCGAAGGCAGACGCCCAACGACTGAGCCACCCAAGTGTCCCGAATGATATTTTTTTTAATGTATTGTTGGATTTGGTTTGCTAGTATTTTGTTGAGGATTTTTGCAGCTGTGTTCATCAGTGATATTGGCCTGTAGTTCCCTTTTTTTGTAGTATCTTTATCTGGTTTTGGTATCAGGGTAAGGCTGGCCTTGTATAATGAATTTGGAAGCTTTCCTTTCTCTTCAAATTTTTGGAATAGTTTGAGAGGAATAGGTATTAATTCTTCTTTAAATGTTTGGTATAATTTGCCTGTGAAGCCATCTGGTCCTGGACTTCTGTTTGTTGGTAATTTTTTGATTAATTATTTAATTTCATTGCTGGTAGTTGGTCTGTTCAAATTTTCTGTTTCTTCCTGATTCTCTTTTGGGAGATTGTATGTTTGTAGGAATTTCTCCCATTTCTTCTAGGTTTCCTAGTTTGTTGGCATATTATTTTTCATAATATTCTCTTATAATCCTGGGTATTTCTTGTATATGTTTCCTCTTACTGCTTTTAAAATTTATCTTTGTTACTACTTTTTGCCCTTTTAGTTACTCTGTGTCTTACTGTGGACCTCTTGGGATGGGGGGCTTTCTGTGCCTACTGTATCTGGATTTCTGTTTCTTCCCCCAGATTTGGGAAGTTTTCAGCTCTTCAGCTTTTCTGCCTCCTTTCTTTCTCTTCTTTTTGTGGGGTAATTAGGCCCCTCTGGGTTTTCAAAGCCAAATGTTACAGAGATTCGTTTTCCCTGTATGTGTTCCCCATACCTGGGGTGCCTAGTGTGAGGGTCTGGTTTTCTTCCTTCTCTGTGCCAGTGGTGTCCCTCCCTTCTGCAGACAGTCCTTTGGGTGGGTGTGTTTAGCTCCTGCCTGCTAGTCCTGCCTCTTCAGTATGGCCTCCTCTTTACTTTTTGCCGTGGAGCGTCTGTTCTGTCAGTTCTCTGGGTTATTGACACTGATGTGGATGTTATCTGGTTGTATCCGTGGAACAAGGTGAGCATAAGATCCTTCTCCTTTGCCATCTTCTTTAAAAAAAGACCTCTAAAGATTTTATTTAATTGAGAGCACGAGACAGGGGGAAGGGCAGAGGGAGAAGCAGACTACCTGCTGAACAGAGAGCCCAACGCGGTCCTCAGTCCTAGGTCCTGATCATGACCTGAGCTGAAGGCAGATGCTTAACTGACTGAGCCACCCAGGTGCCCCTAGAGGCTTTTTTTTTTTTTTTTAAAGATGTGATTGCAAGAAAGATCTGTACCTGGAAGCTCTGAATTATAATTGTCAGTAAATAGATTTTCCTTGAAAGGAAAATGATAGCTTTTTACGTAATGGATATTTCCTTATAGAGTAGGTAGCAGTACCATGTAAAAAATTTGGCTTATAGTTATGGTGTTGCTTATTAACTATGTAACATTAGGAATATCATTTACTTCTTCTGAACTTGTTTCCTTTAAAGGAGACTTTTAAATATGTTTTTTCCATAAAGGTTAGATAACATATAACACATTTAGCACAATGCCTAGTATATAGTGTATATTCAGTAAGTCAGTGTGTTTCAAAAAAATTTAAGGTAATCCAGAAAAGCAGTACTGTTAAGAGGGTGTGTGTGTTACAGTTCAGTTCTTATTAGTTACTCTTTCCCACTAGATGGTGCTAGGGGATTTGCTTTTAGTTTAATTCATCTATCATAACTCATAGAGACATTTGAAGGTAGAAGAAACTTTAGAAATTTTTCATTTACTGCTGAAATGGCATCTGAAAGACTAAGAAACGAGTTTAATAAAATTGTTTTAAAAAATTTAGGGGGTGCCTGGGTGGCTCAGTTGTTAAGCGTCTGCCTTTGGCTCGGGTCATGATCTCCAGGGTCCTGGGATCGAGCCCCGTATCGGGCTCCCTGCTCAGTGGGAAGCCTGCTTTTCCCTCTCCCGGTCCCCCTGCTTATATTCCTGCTCTTGCTGTCTCTCTCTGTCAAATAAATAAAATCTTTAAATAAATAAATAATAAAATTTAAGACTTAGTTCTCACCTTCATAGGAACTTCTTTGACAGGGTGAGGGAGGGATTTAAAATTTAAAAATGCTCACAACTAAGATAAAGAAATGAACCAGGAAAAGGAAGACTGGAATGCTTAAAATAAACTTATCAGAGGTTCCAAGTTGAAATCTTGATGTTGTGAGATGTATACTTTTAAATTTTGTTCAAAGGTATTGCTGATCAGAGTCCCCTTGGATGTGGGAATCAGAGCAAATCGGAGAAAAAATTATGTTCACTTTATTAATCTTATATCTACTGTAGCCATATTTACAAATACTTTTGAGGTGGTATTTTCTGTGAAACATTTTATAACATCTTTTAAAGTGTGAAGTAGCATCCCTACGTGGATATAATAGGGTTTTTTTGTGGGGGGTTTACCCAGTAGATTACTGTTTGGTATTAATGAGATCAATGAGATAATGAGAGTCATTTTCACTTATGGCCCTTTTAAACTTCCCCCCAGTATTTCAGTCATTTATATTCAGAAAAGTTAATCCTTTGGAAAAAAAGACACTAGGGCCAAAGAAATTTAGAAAACACTGGATCTTTAAAATGGAGTTGGTGTAGAGGTCTCAGGTACCTAATAATAGCCCATTTAGTGATTCACAATGTGCTGTTATATATACCAAAGGTTCTGAGAAGTCCTAAAGTGTAGGAACCTATTTAAGTTGAACAGTGTTTCCCAATATTTTGTAACCATGGGCCCCTGTATATGTGAAATTTCCACATCATAAGGCACTAGTTGGGAAACAGATCTATACTTCTTAACAATTACAACTTTAAATTTTTTTTTAAACAAATAATAGGATCAATCTCAGGAAGACAATCTGAAGAGCAGCGATCTCCAAAGACTGAGCATTTCAAGGTATGAACATTCTTCAACATTCAGAAATAGCATATTCTTTTGTAGGCCAGTTTGTATAGCTTACCTAGATTTCTGTTATGATTTAACCTTAAAAGCGAATGGATACTATTTGGGTACTGCATGTAATCTCTGACCACAGTGGATTTATGAAAAACATTTAACTGCTCTTCAACAGTTGGCTTGAACTTTAGTAGAAAGGTATATATTGTGAGGCCTCAATATTTTAGATAGGGCTTTAGGGAGCTAGCTGTGTAGAAAGTATTCTGTAATCCTGATTTTGCATGAAGAATTATACATTTCCATATACAGTAATACCATCTTGTCCTAAGGGCATACTTGGACCACCTTAGTCTTTGGTATAATGTGAATTTTAAGAGAACTGTCCTCCTAGGGTAAAAACAAAAGTAGCTATAAGAGTTCATGTATATTACTTTAAGACGTCATTTTTATTTAAGTAACATGTACTGTGTTTCAAATTATCTTATTTTACATCCCTTCTGTATATGGATTATTTCATCCAATGAAAAATAGTGAGCTGACTTCATTGTTGGATCATTTGGCTTCTAGTTTACTAGTCAAAAGTAAATAATGTGAAATGGCTCCTTCCTATTCCTATCAAAAAACCTAATTGAGAGAAATGAGCAACTAGGGCAAATAATTTGAAGATTGCAGCCAATTTTCTAGATCCAGGGGGTAGGCAAACTTTTTCTGTAAGGGACCAGCATATTTAGGCCTTGTGGGTCATAACACATCTCTCTTGCAACTATTAAACTCTGCCATTTGGACAGTTCTTCTGTTATGCCTTCAAGTTTCATCTAACTTTACCAGCAAGGAAGTTTTTCCTTTTTAAACAGTGTGTCTAGGTCAGTGTCCATGTAAATTATTTCTGAAAGTTGTGTTTAAGATATATTTATTTATCTTAGAAAGGCATATATGTGAGCAGCGGAGGGGCAGAGGGAGAGGGGAAGCGGACTTCCCACCGAGCATGGATCCCGACACAGGGCCTCTGTCTCACCACCATGAGATCATGACCTGAGCCGAAACCAAGAGTTGCATGCATAACCAACTGAGCCACCCAGGCACCCCATACTTCTGAAAGTTTTCTTTATCAAAATTATCTTTTCTCCTGTCAACCCAGGTTTCCCCTCATTTTGTTGTATTTATCAGTTTTATAAGCCTCTTCAAACCATTTTTGGATAGAAGCAAGGAACAGAGAAATACGTTAGAATCAGAGTACGTCAAATGAAAGGGCTATGTATATTGTGTATTAGGGATACGTGATACAGAATGAGACTTCTGCTTCCTTTCATGGGAAATTTTACATAATTTGGTTTACATCTACTAACTCAAAAAGCTGCCTCTGCCCCCAAATGTCTTTAAAGACATCATATATAACTAACAAGATAATGAGGGATCTCTGCACCAGGATTTAAGAGGATAAAGGTACAAGGAGATGAATCTAGTTTTTGAGGCTGCCCAAGTCTATGTAATTTTGGCTTCAAAGTGCAGTTTTGAATTCTCTAAAGCTTAGTATTAACTCAGAGTATCAGCTGAGAGAAAGTTTTTAGAAAGATTTGCCTTAAGTTCTTCACTTTGAGAGTTACTTGTCTGCTAAAAGAACTGTATAATTAAAGCATGTCCTAATGGCTCCGCTAGTGCTCAAAGTATACTTACGGTTTTATACAGGTTGGTTTACATTTATTTTATGTAAACAGTATGAATTGCAAAACTAATTAGGTTTCCCTTTTTTGGTTAGTAACTAGAAACTAATAACCAAATTTGTAGCTTATTCTTGGTAAACTTTTTATCATGCATTTTTATGTTAGCCTCATTCCTAGCTGCATTTTATCTTGTTTTCCTTCACCTTACCATTTATACCTATTCCCAGTTTATAGTCCTGTGTTTTATTGATATTTTTAAGTTACCTCATCACTTTTAAGTGGAACAATTCAGATGTAAGTTTACTACATTAGCAAAAAGGTACATAGGAATGTTTCCACAAAACTTTTAAGTACAAGTTTATATATTTTTAAGGATTTTTTTTTTTAAAGATTTTATTTATTTGAGAGAGAGTGAGCAAGAGAGAGAGAGAGCATGAGCGGAGGTAGGGGCACAGGGAGGGGGAGAAGCAGACTCTCCTGCTGAGCAGGGAGCCTGATGCAGGGCTCAGTCCCAGGACTCTGGGTCATGACCTGAGCCAAAGGCAGACACTTAACTGACTGAGCCACCCAAGAGCCCCGGATTGTTTTTCATTTCTTTGTAAAACACCCTTTTTGGGAAAACTTTTTTCTTTTTTCATATTTCCTCCATTATATTGCCAGGCAAATGAGGTACCTCATATAGAGTGAACCTTGAACCTTTAGTTGCTGGAGGCATTTTTATATGGTACTTATTGTGTGCAACATCATTTAACAACAGCCCAATCAGAAATTTGGCCTGTTTCCTGCCAGTGTTCGGTTTGGTGTTAGCTTTAGTTGTTGTTCTTAAACATATCTAGGTATGGAGTAAACTTACATTGTGAACTTCTTAAAATGTAAATCTTTAGGAAATATGGATTAGGTTAGTGTTTTTCAAACCGTGCTGTGTTCCCTTAGTGGTCATGAAACTTTGTGTGTTGAGAGAAGTATTTTATACAAATATTGAATAAAACAGAATAGAACATACCAGATTGTATTAAACATAATAAGGGGGTAAGTATGGTTTCTCATAACTTGTTTTCTTTGGGTTGCAGTGTAAAATGATTCCTTGCTGGGCCTCACAATCAAAAATGTCTAAAAGACTCTTGGTTGTGGGGAATCACAGTTGTCAAAATACACATTTCTAAATCTTTAGCTCTTGGGTAAGATATCTCATACTTTGATTTTTGTTCCTCTGGGGAATGTAATAGTTCAGTAAATTTTTTTCAGAAGCTAAAGAAAAACACAAATAGGTGAAGTAAAAAATTAGATTTTTCTTAGACAAGGAATACTCATTTCACTACTGAAGAGTTTTGAATGTATAGTGTCAATTAAGAAAACTGGGCTTTTGGGGCACCTGGGTGGCTCAGTCGTTAAGCGTCTGCCTTCGGCTCGGGTCATGATCCCAGGGTCCTGGGATCGAGCCCCGTATCGGGCTCCCTGCTCGCCAGGAAGCCTGCTTCTCCCGCTTCCACTCCCCCTGCTTGTGTTCCTGCTCTCGTGCTCTCTCTCTCTCTCTGTCAAATAAATAAAATCTTTAAAAAAAAATAAAACTGGGCTTTTACACAATTTGACTTCGTAAGCAGGACATGAAATCTGCTTATTCACATATCTCAAGAAGGAGGTATGTTACATTTAAAATTTAGAGGGCTGAAATTTGAGGTTAAGAAGGTTGTGTTGGCAGCCAGCATATTGGAGGTGCTTGGGTAAATGTGTGATGAAGATGATGGTAATAATGATATGAAAAATGTTACCCCAAAAAGGCAGCAGGCAGTCCTTAGACTGGGGATAATTAAAAGATGGTTTTGATCAGCAACATGTTGAGTATGGAGTAAGTTCTCCTGAACCTGTTTCCTCATGTGGAAAATGTGGTTACCCAGCTTGCCAAGTTGGTGTGAGAACATGGTTGAGCACTTATTATCTTAGGCATTTCACCCATCATTTTGTTTCGTCTATTTTGTTTTGTAGGGTTCTCATTTGGGATGCTTTTTAGTGTTGCATCTTAGTGCTCGTTTTATCATTTCATACACACGCACACATATATATATGAATGTAATATGTATGTAATATACACACACCCACCTATACATATATATGCACCTGTGTCATTTAAACCAAAACTTAAATTCATACTCCTGGTTGGTTGGGGAGGGGGGGCCCAGCCAGCCTGTACAATTTCAAAAATATCTAGATAAGTGAAGGTTAATTGGAACTCTGTTGAAGATTTGTGGATGACAGTTTGCCTTTTCCAATCTCACTTAAGTAATGTTTAAGTACTTTGTTCAAATAGAATTTTTTTTAACATACTTTGAAGACTGTAGGACTTTAAAGTGACTGTTATTACTTTGTTATCCACAAGGGGGAGAGCTTATACTTAGTAAATTTTTTTTTTTTTTTAAGCTGTATTTTTTAATCAGGTGACATTAAGGGTAAAGAAAAAGACTTAGATGTATGTTAAACTTGGTGACCTAGTTTTTAGTTTAACCTAGTATATAAGCAGTGTTCATTAAATTGAATTGGAGAATGTGTATTAGATACTGCTTTAACACTTATAATTGTTTTTCTTTTATTTTACATGCTTAGCTATTTTGAATGATTAAATGTGTTTGATATTCTAGGATCCAAACATAGTCTTGGGTATTTGCTTTGCTTTTCTCAAAGTCAGGTACTGATTTACCATCTCATGCCAATAATTAAACACTATTTTTGAACTGTATTATTCATATCATGACTGTCTGCATGAATTAGCACATATACAGCACTTACACTTACTGCTGTGTAATTTAACTCTTTGGAAAGCATACCAAATACCCACAATTGTAACGAGGAACCAACAACTCTTCACACTTAAGACAGGTTCCTATGTGAAACATTCATTGTAGCATACATCTCAGATGTTTACTGGTGAAGTGGAGGTGGTTAACTAATTTTTGTGAAGTAATTATTTCACACTTATCAAAAACCTGCAAAAAGCCCTGTGATTTTTAATAGACTACTGTTTGACAAATGACATTTACAATAGACTAAAACATGTAGATTTTTCCCGAAAGCAGTATATTCTGCTTCTAGTGAAAGAATTGTAGTCTGAGTGGAATAGAAATATCTGACAAAAAAAAAAATATACAAGCTTACATTCAGAATGATGGTTTTTGAGTAGGTCTGTTGCACTGTAATTCGAATAGGATGTTAGATTTAGATATCAAGAGTATTATCCCTTGGTTTGTTCAAAGGTTTTTGTGTATAGCTAGATAAAAACTGCCATATTTTCTAACTTGATTTACTTATTAAATTTATGCCAGTATCTTTAAGAGGCAGTAACGGTCATTTGAATGCTATGAGATCAGTTGTTTTTATACTTAACATTTTACATATTCTTGTATAGCAAAGTAAGAATATATATTGAAGATTTCAGTTTATTTAGTTGGCAATTAAAAGCCAAAAAAAAAAAATCATGAATATCCATGTTTAATGGGAGAATGAAACTTTTGCAAATTAGGTTTAAAATAACTAATTTATAACTTCTCAAATTATGAAAATGACTGGCATTTATGAAGTTTGTAATTTCTGTTTCATATAATCCTCTCTCGCTTCTTTTCCCTTACCAGGAAATCATATGGCTCTTCTTGTGCTGTCATGTCACATTGGTTTAGAACCAACAATATGAGACAGCCCAGTCAAACATAAAAGAATGAAATGCATGAAACCTAAATTTTAATGTGGATTTGGGTATATATTCAGTTGATACATTTCAATTCACAACGTCAAAACCAAATAATCAAGAGATAAATACAAATTAAAACTCTATACATGTCACTTTATTTTTTATCAGATTTGTAAATGAAGGCCATACCCCTTTTATAGTCACAGCACACACATGATAGGCTATAATTAATAAGAAACTTGGTTGTAATAATTTTTGTAATACCCTTCTGTTTAATATAGTTCAATTAATGGCTAGAAATTAGGTCAGTATTATTATGAATAAGATCTTTTTACTTGTTCTAATGCCCTAATTGTATTTCAGTTATTTAATGAGGAAGTTTTAATTTATATCATCTCAAAACTAATTGGAGCGGAAATGCAGATATGCTCATTTCTATGTTAAAGTCACTCCTTTCTGTCTATAAAGAAAATTATAACCATTAACTTTTTTAAAAAAACTGTATTTCAGTGATAATATGCAAAATGCATACTGGGAACTGAAGAGAGAAATGTCTAATTTACATTTGGTGACTCAAGTACAAGCTGAACTACTAAGAAAACTGAAAACCCCAACTACAATCAAGAAAGGCAAGTTAATGTTTGCTGGAAACCACTGATTCCAGCCAAACAGCTTGAAGAGCAACTGGCTATCGTTTCTTATCGAAATTTCATCAGATGATTTTGATAAGCCAAAGTATATATAGTATGTTCACAGTCTACCTATTCTCTGCTTTGGCTTCATTCTCATACTGGTCAACTTCACACATAAAGGTGTTGCTGATGTGTTTTTTCTTCAGTACTGTATTCTTTTCCCCTTGTGGCTTTTTTTCTCAGCCAAGTGTTGCTTTTGTGTATAAGGCTGAGGTGTTAACTTAGCTGTAGTTGACCTTTTACCACAACTCCTTCTTATATTAAAAAAAAAAAAGAGACCAAGACACCAAAAGCTATTTTTCATTACAATGCTATAGAACATATCAAAGACCTAGCTCTTTAAATTGTTTTGAAAAAAATTACTTTGATGCATTCATTGGGTTCTTTTCATTTGGTAAACTTAATTTTTCTTTCCATAAAGGATAGATTGTTTAGAATGGAGACTAGGTATTATCCCCTTATCCCTTTCAATGAAATGAAAATTTTCATTGATTTGCTTTTCATATGTAACTGCTTGGCTGACTAAACTTTTTGAGTTTGGGGCTAACATAGTAGTGGCTACTTTGCCAAAGCTATTTTTATACCTCAGAGAAAAATCAGTGCATTTGCACTTATTACATAATAGGTATATTTCTGAAAAGTTGTAAATTTGAATGCCCTAAGTTTATTTTAAAGGAATGAGATGTGACTTTTTATAAAAAATAATCACCACCACCTAATTTAAAATTATATGCACCTCGTATTACCCCCGAAGAGGGCACAAGAGTATTTTATAAATCTCCTCAGGAGTATTTAGTAGGAGGGAAAAAGGAAAACTGAAGTCAAAACTCCTTTCAGTTTCGTGAGAGTTATTTATGAATCAGGCGAACTAATATGGTGCCCTGGCAGGCTCCAACTTAATTTATGGTTCATTTTGCCCTTGAGTTTTTCAAGGGCAGGGTTACATATGAGGCAAATGTATGTCCTTTTAAAAGGAACGCACAATAATTTTGTAGGGAGTTTTCAGTGAGGCTCTTTGTTTATATAATAAATACAATTTCCAAAGAATAATATAGGAGAAATGCTCTTTCCGTATTTGAAAATGACTCATTCGTGTGTCCCTTCTGAGCTGAAGGATGAGTTCTTTTGGTGTATCAGACCATAAATTTTCTAGCACACTACAACAGTGGCAGGCTTAAGGCCACCACTCCTTACTGCAAAACTCAGTGCTTTGAGGAATAGAGACAGACTAAATCACCTTTTCTCCTAACCTACAGATCACTCTTGTCCAGAAGTTGAGCACCATTACTTCTATGTCTCCGCTACTCCTGTCCTTCTTCCCAAGAAAAAAAGGGAATGAGCTTATTTTATAATGTGGTTCAGTTTCTTATAAAATTATAGATTGAAGTCTTTGTTTTAATTCCTAGCATTCTGTCCTAGTTGGTTGAATTGGAAGGGGAAGAGAAGTTCATAAGCTCATACTACCATTATGCTGGCTATCACTAAATAACAGCTTTAAAGCAATTTGTTTTCTAAGCCATTACGTGTGTACTAAACACATTTTTTCCCTTGACCTATTACTGTAACCATAGCAGAAATGTGTGTTTATTTAAGAAACAGGATTATTTTATAAATTTTATTCAAACTTTTATCCATAAAAGCCTTCGTATATATATTAAAACTTCATTTAGGCCTCATCGATTCACAATATAATTATTTCTGAAAAAATTTACTTTTAAAGCACCTATGGAAAAAAGATTTGAATAAGCAAAGGATATTATATTTAACATTACTTTAGAACAGCTTAGTTTCCACTGACACGTAAACAGTCTACAAACCTTTTCTAGCCACATTAAGAGCCAAAAAGGGGATCCTTCCTGTATTTTAACTTCATTGGTTTCCAACTTCTTAAACTATGGAATTCTTCATCTTCATTAATAATTCTGTGATATAGGCAGGGCAAGATTACTATGTCAATTTTGCAGACAAGAGAAGTGACACCTGGAAGTAATTAAGTGATTGTAAAGTCAAGTCACAATGTCAGTAAATAGTGATCCAGGATTAGAACTCAGATCATTTTTCATCTGTCATCAAGTCACAATGCCCCAGTGATCACACTGACTTAGAAATGTTAATTTTATTTCCAGTTCTAGATGTAACCAAATTAATGAAATGTTATGTATTTTATGATCACAAATGCCTTGACAACTGACATTTAGCCTGTGTTTTCTTTTTAGCCTGTGCCCCAGTAGGATGCATGGAAGACCTTGGGAGAGACAGCACAAAACTGCACTTGGCGAATTTTACTGCAACATACAAAAGACATTCCCCCCTCTCACCAAACGGCAAAACTGTTTGCCATACCACATCTTCCCCTTTACCAGGAGATATAAAGGTTTTATCAGAGAAAGCAATTCTCCAATCATGGACAGATAATGAGCGATCCATTCTTCATGATGGTACTAACTTTCAGGAACACAACTCTTATGGCAGAAATTCTCTGGAAGATAATTCTTGGGTATTCCCAAGCCCTCCTAAATCAAGTGAGACAGCATTTGGGGAAACTAAAAATAAAACTTTGCCTTTACCCAACCTGCCACCACTGCATTACTTGGATCAACATAATCAAAACTGTCTTTATAAGAATTAATTCTGAAGAGATTCATGATCTGGTCATGCTCCCTCAGTGGCACTCTCAAGAAATTAACAAACTGAAAGCAGATTTTGATTAAACTTTTGCAGAGTTCTTCGGTATATACATTTGCACATACTGTTCCACATTATGTAGTTGATTTTCCAGTATGAAAGAGCACCCTCCAGCTCCATGTTCCGGCTAAGAATCAGACATATGCTACTTATTAATAAACTTAAGGTGTTTCAGAGAGACAGTTCTACCTTTGAGAGTAATTGTAAATAACAGCCTCTCACATAAAGAATGGAATTAAAATTTCTTAGACATGGTTTTATAAAGCATGTGAAATGCCTAAATAACCATTCATAAAAATAAGAGGCCATTAATATCTGAGAAAAACAGTAATAAGTTGCTTTAAGTTGCAAAAAAGAGCAAATGGCAAAATGAATAGGTTGTTTCTATTGACTTTATATTGCATAAAGATGAAGAGTGTTAATAGCTGAATAGTAATCTCTTACAGGTTATTCCATCTCCATATGCTTATTGTGTTTCAAAGTTTTTAAGACAAAATTTTTTTTATCACAGTGTTAATACTTGAAGTAATGAAATAGTTGAAAAACTATGTGGTGTGTGAACTATTATAATTCTACAATATTCAATGAGAAGTAGAAAGAGCACCACAAAGGTTTCAGTCTAAATCTGTGCCTTCAGTGGTCCATAATGAAAATGTAAGTATGTAACTGGATAAAGTAATTTTCTTCAAAGAGTCTATACCTGCTTGTTAATGTAGAGCAACTTATAAATTGTTAGTTTTTTTGAAATGTAACATTTTACTCATTGAGCTAGTGATTTTTCATTAACCAAATTAGGAATTATAATTCTGTAAACCAAATCTGTGCTGTATTGATATAGTACAATCATGAAATGTCCCGACTTTTTGATTCTAAGTGGCCTATCATTTATAAACAAGGATATAACAAGGATGACTTCACACGGAAATCTATCTAAATCCTTGCAGGGTGGTGGTATTAACATATTAGTAATATAATGTATTAGTTGGCTTACACATCTTTTGCCTGAGATAAAGTGTTTCATGTAGGAGGCCTTTATCCTTTTTGATACAGTTTCAAATACCTTGAACTCAAAAGAATATCTCAGATCTCTTCTATATTAACTGAATAGCATACATACATAAACAGTGTTCACTGTTCACCAGATATTTTTGTCTTTCTATTATCTCACTTATTCAAGCTTGTCTGTGATTAATGGAATTGGTGTCAGATGCTGGAATTTATTGACCAATGAACACAGCTGACTCCAGGGAGTACAATCTCCTGCCAAGTAATAGAACAAAACCCAATATGCATAAAACAAATACGAGACTCCAGGCTTTAGCTAAAGGAAGCAACTACCTGTGTAATAACAAAGCAGCAGAAACTATTTCTCATGTGGCTGCATAGGCTATATATTCTATCTATCTATCTAATCTCTAATGTAGCTTACTGGTTTGCCTATTTTTAAACCAAGGTTGGAAACTTTCCTTTGTAAAGAAGTAGTATGAGATAATGCTTGATTAATGTTTTGAACAATGCCAAGAAATTGTTTAATTAAAATAAATTATTTTTGTTTGAAATTGAAGAGATTATTTAATACTGTCCTTGCCTATATATTCCAAGGTCAGGTACTAATTGTTAGTTGTTCATTTGATACATATTAACAGGCATTTGTCTTGTTAAACTTCCACTTCTTTTAAGTGGAAAAAATGTTCTTCCATCTGACCAAGAGGGTGGCTATCAAACAGGTATGCTAGAAATCAGTGGTTGTATGTTCTTTACAGTGTAAAGTGCTAAATAAAATGATGTGTAGGACTCTTTAGTAAAGATTAACCAAAAACTCTTTACCCAGCCCCAAATTTAAAAATGTGTGCTTTATGATCGTCTCCGTTGTACATAAGATTCAAAGAGAAATGAGAATGGCCCATCTGTAGTCGATATTTATTTGAGATGGAAAAAATTTTTTAAAGATTTAATTGAGGGGGGTGGGAGGGAGAAAGAAAATCTCAAGCAGACTTTCCACTGAGTGCCAAGCCCAACAATGGGGGCCTGGATCCCAGGACCCTGAGATCATGAACTGAAAAATTTTATGTTGAGTTCTTTCATACTGCTTGAAATTTGCTCCAAAGGGCTTTCCTTGGAAATTTCTTTAATCTTTAGATTTTTATAACCCAGTTCACATTTCACATAACAGAACGAAGAGAACACAAGTAAGGACAAAAAGCCACTTACTCCTTCCTCTTGATCTCCCATTAGTGAAAATACAATTTGCATCTTCTCTAAATAAGGAAACGGAGACTGCCAAAATGGAACCTAATTCCTAAGCAGAGCAGGGACATATCTATGTGAGACAATTAGAAAACCAAGTAAGTAGGGGAAAATTTAGACTTTAAGACCTGAGACCAAATCATGCAAAAACCATAATGATCTGATCCGGAGAGGCTACTTCAACAAGGTGAATCTTTAGGGGAAGAAAATCTGTGCACTGTTTCTTAACAGAAATAATATCAGCCAGAGGTATGAATGAGTAAGCAAGACAACAAATGAGGCAGCTGTACTAGTCAGAGAAGTAGGTAAGTGTGGTGGCTAGGCATGGATATCCTGAAAGCTGTGATAAATGAGTAGCTTCTGACATTATAGAAGAATGAACATATTTATATAACCTGTCCAGCACCTGTGGGGAAAGTGACATCTACATAAGTGAATTTTCTACATAAAATTGAAGGTGGCTCCTCTGATTCTCATCCAAATTAGAAATGAGCCACACATTATAAATTTTACCAGCTTTTTAAAGCAACTGCCTTTTCTTCATTTGCACCATTAAAAATAAAAATTAAGGTCCTGTGCTCTAGGAAATGTACCAATACCAAAAGGCCAACAGAAGAATATAGGCTTGTTTACTCCTATGGTATGTGGTCTCTAGGTTTCTATATTTGCTTTGCTTTTATCTGCTCTAGTAATCTTCCTTTTGATCTGTGGCCTGGGAAAATGTGGTTTCTTTGGGTTTCAAGTAAGAGTAAAATAGTTCTTTGCGTGGTTCAGTTGAGTAAAGTATGGAACTTGAACATCACATTGGTTCCTTAGGATCCTATCTGCTTTAAACTAAGTCCTTAAAAAAAAACAAAAAAAAAACACCTCATCTATTTTATGGGATTGGGGTCAAAGTTAAATCTTGTTCTAGTATGTAGTAATTTCTATTTGTGATTTTAATGAGAACTATATATATATATATTTTCTTTTTATTTACTTGGAAACTGGTTGCCATGGCTATAGTGAAGAGTTAACAGCTCACGGAGGAAAAGGAAAGCAAGTTTTGATATAAAGCTCAACCTGGAACCAAATTATTGTACTCGGACAATTTTTTACATTAGCTCCTGAAATCATTAAAATATTTTTGGGGCGCCTGGGTGACTCAGTCGTTAAGTGTCTGCCTTCGGCTCAGGTCATGATCCCAGGGTCCTCGGATCGAGCCCCGCATCGGGCTCCCTGCTCAGCGGGAAGCCTGCTTCTCACTCTCCCACTCCCCCTGCTTGTGTTCCCTCTCTCGCTGTCTCTGTCAAATAAATAAAATCTTTAAAAAATATTTTTTTTTTTCAGTAGCCAAATTAACAGGTCAAGGAACGTAATAATTCATTTTAGGAAATTTTCCATCAAATATGTAAAGTTAATTCATGTGTAAGTACTTTCTTCATCTGTTTCCAAATAATCCTTTACTACTACTAACAATAACCATTAAAGAGCATTTACCACATCCGAGGCAATGTCCTACATACTCTACTTACCTGCAATAATCCTCACAATAACTGAAAATTATTTCCATGGTTACATAACTAGTAAGTGACACAACCAGGAAGGATTCTGATTCATCACTATTCTGCTGTACTGCCTTGTTATTAACACCTTTGACGGCTGTTCATTCCTACTTTCCTTTGGTTACTTCCGGTCCCTATGATTAGCCACTGGACGAAAGTAATATAAGGTCTATATAGAACCCTGAAACTCAGTATCTCTGTTACAGAACTGTAGGTGTAGAAAAATTTACAAAAAATGCATGACGACCAGGCAGACCGTATCCCATTTCACTATTTACTACTCCCATCTCATTTAATAAAACTTGACTTTGAAATTTAAAAGGAAATCTTTATTATTTCCATAATTTGGGATAAAGCAAACACTTCCTTGAGTCCATTATTTTAGGTGATAATGATTTCCGTGAGTATCAGGGCTAAGTATCTGAGTATTTGCCTACATGCTTGTGGGAAGTTTCTGTAGCCTTTTCTTGGCAGGAATTCCAGTTTTTCTGAATTCTTCCCTTTCCTTCAGGTATTCCATTTTGCATTCTTCATAAAAGGCTGGATCATTATAACTACAAGAAGGAAATAAAAACCTTTTAAAAAAATGAAACTGCAAGTGTTTAATTCTAACAAGAAGGAAATAAAAATCAAAAAACTGCAAGTGTTTAATATAAGCTTACTTTAATAATGTTCAGACATTTCATCAGGTGCAGTCTTTAGAAGTAGATTTTAAGAAATAGTCATAAATTTATTGTAAACATTAGGCTATCAAACTGGATAAGAGGGCGAGGGGGAAGACCTAGTGGTTTGTTTTTGAATGGCAGGATAGAGCGATGAGAAGCACAGCGCGTATCCTCAAGGAGTGCATGGTGTTGTGGGACAGTAAGTAAAGGCTGCACAACAAGGAAGTATACAAAGTGCTGTCCCGGAGGCATGGCCCAGTGCACCACGGAGACCTCAGAAAGAACTGGGGAAAGGAGAGATGGCAAGCAGAAGTGCAGGAGTTGCACTTTGAAGGACAAGAGAAATCCAGATTGAAGGTACACTGGAAAGGCACAAAGATGAGGAAACACAAATGAAGCAACTGCAAATAAATAAGTACCATTACGGCAGATTATGCATGTAAGAGAAAGGGCCTGGGATGAAGCTAGACAGGGCAAGGGCCACATCATGAAGGTCACTGTATGCCACACCAAGAAGTCGAAATCTATCCTGAAGGCAATGGGACAATATTAACAGCAACTCTGAAGATCAGTTTTGTGTCTTAGATGAATCTGACAGCATGTGACAGGCCAAAAGGGGGCAGCAGGGTTAGACGCAGGATGCCCAGTAAGTAAACTACCACAATAATCCAGGAAAGAATGATGAGGGCCTAAACTAACAGGAGAAGTTGGGATTAAAA